CCAAAACCATCAGTGCACACGAGCACAGCATGTTCAAATATCATTGGCTTGGCCAGATGGTGTAGTCGTTGGTTCAGCCTATACAGTGTTGCCGCACATGCCCACTCTCTTTTATGATACTTTTCATTCGTGCCCGAAATGCAAGAAGTGTATCTGGTGACACAGCCTGCAATGCGCGTGATGATATGATCGGGAAGGCCAAGCAAAGACATTTCAGAAAAAAAATAAAAGCAATATTAATAGAGAAAGCAGAGCAATGATTCGTGCTGCTTGCGCTTTGGGAGGTTGCAAGGCTCGTACAAAAAATGCACAAAAGGATTGATTATTCTTTCTAAGAAAGAAATGATACAAAGCCCAAAGACAAGCGTCCTTTTCTGCAAACAGTTCTTTGCAAACAATATCGGGGAGTAAAGTAGCACATTGCCGCTAATTCAAAGTGCTGACTTAGTAGATTTTCCATACAAAAAATGGTTAAAAAAATTAAACGTCAGCTACAGGATTTGAACCTGTGCGGGCATAACCCAACAGATATTTGGAATCAACAGCCAGGCTGCGATTATTCGAATCTGTCGCCTTAACCACTCGGCCAAACTGACTTTATTGATCCACGCAGGAAACGCAAGTTAAAGGTGGTTGACTTAGAGATGATTTTGATCCAACAGATTAAGGTCATTGGCTATTGGCAAAAATACCAATTCGTTGTAAGCGATTAGAAAAAAGCGAGTTTATTAGCAGTCAAGGTTGGGACTTTTCGTCAAAGCTCTGCAGAGTGACGGTGGCCATAAAGCCAGGAATACTGCCGCGCTCTTGAATCCAAAAGCGAATATCGTTGGCAAGGGCCTGGATATAGGGCTTGCTGCCACCGCCAGTCAAATGCATGGTAGCGTAACCGAGCTTGGCATCAGGAACAAAGATAAAGCTGCGATCTACGTCCTTCGCATAGGTAGAAGTAAAGCGTACACCACCGGCGTCAGAGCGCAAAAAGTCGACACGGAAGCCCAAAACGGTGTAGATGACATCCCGGATTTTGGCAAACTTGTGGCGCAGCTCCGACTTGTAGCGACTCAGCAAAGTCGCGGTGTCCCGCAGCTGAGCTTCCAGGCGCGCGTTCTCGGAGCGCAGATTGTCGATGGAGTGGAACAGCGGATGAGACTGATCGGGCTGATCGGGCTGATCGGACCGATCCGCTGGAACATTCAGTGTGCGCAGGCGCTCCACCAGCGCGGCGTTTTCGGCGGCCAGCGCGGCCAGGCGCTCGGACCGGATGGCAAAGTCGCGTGCGGTGGGGTTGTCGGTCAGCTGCAGCACGCGCGTGGTGCGCGGGTTATGGGCGGCGCCGGCAGCCAGCAGCAGCTCGAGGCGCGCGGCGTCGCGTTCAGCAGCGTCGGCGCGAGCACACTCGGCATCACGTGCAGCCTCGGCGTCGCGTACGGCGTCGGCCACGCGCGCGGCCTCCAGATCGCGCGCGGCGTCGGCAGCGGCCTGGGCGTCGGCGGGGCCGCTGGCGGGCGAGAGCCAGGCGCGCTGGGCGTCAACCAGGCGCTCAAGCTGGGTGATGCGCAGGGCGGCGGCGCGGCTGTAGTCCGGCATGCGCGCGGCCTCCTCGGCGTCGTAGGCGTGCAGCGCGGCGCGCAGAAACTCGGCCTCGCGCTCAGCACGCGCCTGCGCAGCGCGTGCGGCCAGTGCGTCGGCCTGCGCGTCGGCCAGCGAGGCACGTGCGTCGCGCGCGGTCTGCGCAGCCAAGGCGCTGGCAGCGCGTGCGTCGTCGGCTGCGGTCTGCGCGGCGGCAGCTAGCGCGGCGCGCGCCTCGGCATCGGCCACGCGGCGCTGCAGCGCGTCGGCGGCATGGGCGACAGCGGCGGGCGTCGCGTCGGGGCCAAAGGCGCGGCGCCACGCAGCGCACGCGTCCTCCGCCAGCTCCGCGCGCTGCGCTGCGTCCTCCAGGCGCTGTGCCTTCAGGGCGAGCGCGTCGGCCCGCTCGCGCTCACGCTGCGCGGCGGCGGCATCGGCAGCCAGGCGCTGCACGTCGCTGCGCAGCGCGCGGTTTGCCTGCTCCACGGTGCGGATGTGCGCGCACTGGTCGCGGATATGGCGCTCAAGGCGCGCCACACGGTCGTCGTCCTTTAGGGTCGGCGGGCCGAGGTCCTGCTGGCTCTGTGGTTTGTGGTCCTGCTGGCTTGGTGGTTTGTGGTCCTGCTGGCTTGGTGGTTCGAGATCCTTTAAGCTTGGAGGGGCGTGGTCCGTGGCGTGAGCGAGCAGGCCGGCGTGCAGGGCGTCGACTTCGGCGCGGTGAGCGGCCTGCATGGCGCGCATGCGGCGGGCGGCGTCGTCGGCGGCGGCCTCCAAGCGCATGACCTTTTGGGCCCAGGCGTCGGCGTCGGCAAGGGCGGCGTCGGCGCGCTTCAGCTCGCGGTCGGCGTCGGCGCGGCGCTCGGCGGCCCTGCGCTCCTCCTCGGCCGCCAGCCACCGGCGGTCGCGCTCCAGCGCGCCAATGCGGCGGGCCTGCTCGGCCACCTGGGCCTCCAGCGCCAGCGTCGCCGAGGCGTCAAAGGGCGGCACGGCGAACAGCGCGCGGCGGAAGGGGCTCTCCCCGGCGTCGGCGTCGGCGTCGTCGGAGAGAAAGCGCTTTGCGGCGCGGGCGGGCGCGTCGTCCTCCGGTGGCAGGCGCTCGCCAATGCTGCGGAAGCGCGACCGGATCACGGTGGACGGCGGGGGTGGAATCATTATGAACGAAAGAAGATGCTATTCAAGGTGCAATGCGAAATTAGATAAATGCAAAAAGGACGAGGGGAAAGGAAAAAAAAAGAAGTGGGGTGATGGTTCGGAGTTTCCGCGCCTGCTCTCCCCTTTCTCTTGTATCATTCATTTGAAAGCAAAAAAAAACAGCTCGTAAGCATGCCCAAGAAATTCACAGGCGCAA